AAAATGAGCAGTGTTGGGGTGCCTCCAGGACCAGGGTTGGGATCCACTGACCTAAAGGATAGAGGTTTATGTAGATATGAGTCACTAAACAAACATGTTGTTGCAGGTCAGAAACGGACACATAAAGCGCATCACAGACAATGACATCCAGTCTTTGGTTCTTGAGGTGGAGGGGACGAATGTGAGGTGAGTGTTTCCCCGTCCATCTGTCTGATGCTGAACACACACACACACACAGGTTTGTTTTTGTGAAAAGTGGGGACATCCCATAGGTGTAATGGTTTTTATACTGTACAGACCATATATTCTATTGCCCTACACCAACCCTACCCCTAAACCTACCCCTTACAGGAAGCTTTGAGCTATTTCAGATTGTCAATACACTCCATTCTGTGTGATTTATAAGCGTTTTGAAAAGTGGGGACATGGGGTAATGTCCTGAAAAGTCACCTTCTCCTTGTAATACCTATGTCATACCTTTGTCATTATACAAATTTATGTCCTCATTTGTCACAAAAACGCGCGCACACACACACACACATCGTGTTCAGACCTGACCCGTGTGTGTCTGATCTCCACAGCACCACCTACATCACGTGTCCAGCAGACCCCAAGAAAACCCTCGGCATCAAACTGCCCTTCCTCGTCATGATCATCAAGAACCTCAAGAAGTATTTCACATTCGAAGTTCAGGTAGGGAATTGGTTTCGTCAAAATAATACAAAGTTGGTTTGTGATGTCAGAAATGTGTGAATGTGTGATGGGTTTCAGGTGCTGGACGATAAAAACGTGCGGCGGAGGTTCAGGGCGAGTAACTATCAGAGCACGACCCGCGTGAAGCCCTTCATCTGCACGATGCCCATGCGGCTGGACGACGGCTGGAATCAGATCCAGTTCAACCTGTCAGATTTCACACGCCGGGCGTACGGCACCAACTACATCGAGACGCTGAGAGTGCAGGTGAGAGAGACTGATCCAGCTCACATTTCACCCCAACATCAAG